GGAGCTGGTGTCCTGGGCCTGCACCACGGACCAGGGCCTGTCACAGAGTCTAGCGTACTCAGTTCTAGAATTCTGATTCTGCAGCTTCCAGTAGAGTAATTACTCTATTATTATATTTTTACTGTTTGCTACATGTTTAGGTATGGATTTACTGTATTTTGAGGCCATATTTTTACCCAAATGAAAAAAGTCTCTATTCGAGAAATTCGTTTCATAAAATTCTAGTTTCTAGCCAGCTACTCAGGAAGTCCTTCTCTCACAGTTGAGGCATATCTGTACTTGGAAATACAGCAAAGAATTGGACTAGATTCCTTTCACTTTCCTCTATGCCTTCATTACCCTAATGATTTATTTTATGTTCCCTACTTTTGTGATTTAAGTTGAGCTACATTTTACTTGGAGATTAGAAACTGGAAACAAATGTACATCTGCTGACAAAAGGGTGTTCCAAGAACTGGAAAGCCCGGGGAAAACCAAAAAAGGGAAGCATCAGATAAACAAAGAAAATGGCTCCTGCCAGCAAGAAAGTACTAAACACAACAAAGATGCAGAAGAACAAGCTCAACATCAAGCCCAGGAGGGAAATTAAAAACATCATCCAAGCGATGCCAATAAAGGGAGAAGGGAGAAAACGACAGACAGACAGGTGTGCCCTGCTGATAAAAAAAGTGTTCTGGCAATCCATATTTATGCAAACATTTCAGCACACTGGCTCTTCTCGTGATACCTGATGCCAAACACTCTGCCGAGGAAGTGAGCGCATGGCTAACTCGCTGGGAAAGCAAAGACAAGGGGAGACTAGATGCTAATCCAAACAAATAGGCATCTCATAATCACAGATGAAAAGCCCCACATCAGAGACAGAGAGAGGGAGAGAGACAGACGGACACAGGCATGCAGCTGGAAAAGAAGCTGATTAAAACCACAGTATAAAACTTGGTCTTTCCTTTAGGAAAACAATAGCTATTTGAGGCCCAACACTGCCAACAGCACTTGGTTCAAATGACTTAGAATTTTCAAAACATCATTCATTCAACTCTGACTATGTGCAAAAAGGCTGTGCCTCTCCTGGCCAAGGGCCAGAGTCCTGCCATCTGGACAGGAAGGTGGGAGAAGAGCTGAGGGCTCCGTCCACCTGACAAGCAACTAAGACGGGTCCGGCACCTTTCCAAGTGGATGCTGCCCTGAGGCCACGCCCGGCCTGGAGGCTCCTGGGCTGCAGGTTGTGTGATAAGGTTCATTTTCCTGGAGCATTGACTTTACTGGGAAATATGAGTGAAAAGCATAAAACATGGCCACATTTAGGAGTGGATTACAATATTTAAACCACTTTTAGAATACAACATGGGAATTAAAAAATCAGTGGCTCTTGGCTCTGTGCTCCTTCTCCATCTCTTTCGCAGACTCTCCCATTCCTACCTGTGGTTGAAAGGCAGGAGCTGTTCAGGTGCTGATCTAGATCCCCTTCTTTCTCCTGCTGGGCAATCACACCTGCACAGATGAGCCTCTGGCTCTGATCCCCACACTCACTGAGCTTTGAGGCGACCCCTCTAACTTTGCCGTACTGCACAGGCGCCTCATGGTCAACACAGCCCAGATGGAATTTGTCATCTTCAGTGCTTCCCATTCCTGTCCAACTCACCTCTCTACCTACTCAGAAACAACCTGCTCCCATCTCAGGGAGTAACACCATCACCTGGTCAGCTGCCTAAGGCAGAACTGTCCCCACCTCCCTGATTCTGACACTCAACCATTCATCAAGACCTGTCGATTCCATGGCCTCCAACCTAATTCCCCATCACCACCGTGGCCTTGGTTACGGGGTGGTCATTCTGTCGCTAGTGAGATGCCCTCAGGTTCATTTTACTCATCTGCAGTCTCTGCCAGCTAAAATAGTCCATCTTGAGCTTCTAGTCCAAGTCTCTCATTTTACACATAAGGAAAACCAGGCCAAGACAAGTGATGCACTTGCAAGGAAGGTCCCAAAATTACTGAGAAATCTGAAATTGGATAAAGAGCAAAATTGATGACATTTATATGCAGGAGAAACATATACTGATTAATGCCAACATATCTTTTAAAGTTAATTTTTTCCTATAGTACAGCCAACATGATGGAATACTATACAGCTGTAAAAAGGATGAGGAGAATCTCTATTTACTGCTATGCTGTGAGCTCATGATATGTTGTTAAAAAAAAAAAAAAAAAAAAAGGTGGAGAGGGACTTCCCTGGTGGTCCAGTGGGTAAGACTTCGCACTCCCAATGCAGGGGCCCTCGGTTCAACCCCTGGTCAGGAACTAGATCCCGCATGCATGGCGCAACTAAGAGTTTGCATACCACAACTAAGAAGTCCGCATGCTGCAACTAAAGATCCCACGTGCCGCAACTAAGACCTGGCACAGCCTAAATAAATAAATAAAATTTTTTTTAAAAGATGGAGAAGAGCTTGTACTGTATACTACCATTTTCTAAGAAAGAGGGCTGTAGGTATACACACACACACACACACACACACACACACACACACACATACTTATATTACAAATAGACAAACTAAAAACAAAAGAAAAAGTTAACTGTGGAGGAGGGAAGAAACAGGGTACAAAGATCAGGAATGAAAGCTAGATTTCTGAAAATACTTTATTTTGACTTGTAACCATGAAAATATTTTTTATAAACATCTAACGCAAAATTTAAAAAGAAGCTATTCCTTAAAATAAAAATAAAATAAATGAATCTAACTGTGTAGCAAGCTGGTGGCACACGGAGGACCTGGCTCAGGTGACGCTAAAACGGAACAATTCGGCAGAACATCCCTAGGGATCTACCCTGAGGACAAAAAGAACTGCAGAAAATCTCAAACAGTTTTCAATAATCATACACTGGTTGGTAATATGTTGGTGTTATTATTTTAAAACTATCACGTTTATTTTATAGGTTAAAACAAGTAAGTAATGATGTGAATGTTGTTAGGAACCAAGATTTTCAGCATAAGAGAAAAGACACATCAATACAGAATCAAAGAAGTAAAAACCATATAATCCTGAATTTGAAACAAAAATATCAGTATCAACTCATGACTAAAAAGTGTATTTCCTGGCTGTCCACCAAAAAGGCCCAGGACAATAACCAGCCTTACAGCAACGAGTATCCCTAGTGCCCAGTCTGTGGTCTCAAGGTACCGTTTTCTACAAGAGGGAACCAGAGCTGCTTAGAGAAATAGCCAATTCCAGGTCTGGGGTGAAAAAGTACAAAACGAATCCGAAACATCTTACCATTTCAGAGACCAAGGAAAGGAAGGCTACGGGTCACGTCAAAGGACAAGAAGTCAACTTAAAGAGGCTCCACTGGCAAAAGTGGCACAATCCTAGCATCCGTGAGAGTAATAACTGCAACGGATTAAACACACCACATACATTTAAGTTCAGGAGTTTACACTGATACTTAATCCCTGGTCACTTTTGGAGCGGCTATGAGACCATCTCATTATTTTGAGAACCCATAAAGAGAAAGAATCAGGCATTTGTCCTACCTTTCCTATTTGAACTGTCCCTTAGGTTAACCAAACAGTTAGTATTTCAGTGAATCAAGGCAGGGAATTCCCTGGTGGCACAGTGGTTAAGAATCCGCTTGCCAATGCAGGGGACACAGGTTCGAGCCCTGGTCTGGGAAGATCCCACATGCCGCAGAGCAACTAAGCCCATGCGCCACATCTACTGAGCCTGCGCTCTAGAGCCCGTGAGTCACAACTACTGAAGCCCGTGCGCTCTAGGGCCCGCGTGCCACAACTACTGAGCCCACATGCTGCAACCACTGAGCCCGAGCTCCTAGAGCCTGCGCACCGCAACGAAGAGTAGCCCCCACTTGCCGCAACTAGAAAAAGCCCGCACGCAGCAACAAAGACCCAACACAGCCAAATTAAAAAAACGAAACAAAAAAAAGGGTAAAGGATGAAACTTATCATCATTTACAACCCCTAATGACTGTGAATCCAAGTGCCTCCTGGTGAGGGGACACACCACCACCTCCGAGTGCACGTGCTCAAAGGCTGAGCCAGTCGAACTTCTAGATCTACCTACCACCTCCCAGGAAATAACGGGATAGAAGAATGTGTTCAATGGAAACGGCAAAAGTCAAAACAGGGACACCCCCAACTACAGAACAACCAGCATGGATTTTCCAAAAAAAAACATGCAAGGATGAAAAGGGATAGGGTGGAGCAATCAGTTGATTAACAGAGACTTAAGAGACAGATCAGCTTAATGCAATTGTTTGGACCCTGCTTCAAACAAGCTAAAAAAAATCGAGACTACTGGGGGAAATTGAATGGTACTGTGATTATGAATAAAATTTTAAATACCAGTTTTCTTGATACTTATGAATTTATCAAAAATAGCTAGGTATTAAATCTTACTTTGCATGCAAACATTTCAAACCCGTTTCATATTCATTTTTATGTTCTAACATATTAAAGAGTTCTTAATTTCAAGTATAAAATGCCACTCAATCACAAATTAGAGATTAAAACACAGGGTATTTTGTTTCCTTTCAAACTCCTAGAGAAAGACGGTTAAGGAGCAAGCAAAAGATGCAATACTCAGCTGGGCAGGCCTCCAGCCTCAAGCCACTGGCACCTTTACTGCAGCGGCATCCTCTGAGGGAAGGCTGGGCCTCAGGGCTTTCAGAGGGCAGGCAGAGATGCATGCCGCTAACCTTGGTTTTCAAACTCATTATCGTTACTAAGACATCAGGTGTAATGTCTATCACTTGCAAAGTTTAATGCTGGTTTTAAAAAAAGAAAAAGTCAGATGCACACCAAAATACAGTGCCGTGTAAGCAGAAGACAGTCCAATACACCTGTTATAGAATGAAACTGCTAAAGCCAAAAGTGAGGAAGTTCAGGATGTTTTTGAATTTAATTACTTCACTGTCATGCAAAGCAAACAAGTAACACCTGAAGAAGGAAATCCACACAAATTAAAATTTTCTAGTGACATACCTGTGTGTCATATGCTGTAAGAAGATGTATCTAAGCTTGATCAGGCGGGAAGAGATTTCAATAAAGAAAAAGCAGCGTCAACCTTATCCTTCTTCAGATAATGTAGTGGAGTCCCTTACCTAGGAAGTAAGATACGTGGTTAACTCACATGTGGAAAATTTTAAAAACAGAATTTCAAAAATGGAAATTTCTAAAAAATTATAAAGTAAGAAGTTTAGGAGGAAACTTTTTTTTTTTTTTTTTTTTTCGGTACACGGGCCTCTCAGTGTTGTGGCCTCTCCCGGTACGGAGCAGAGGCTCCGGACGTGCAGGCTCAGCGGCCATGGCTCACGGGCCCAGCCACTCCACGGCATGTGGGATCTTCCCGGACCGGGACACGAACCCGTGTCCCCTGCATCGGCAGGCGGACTCTCAACCACCACGCCACCAGGGAAGCCCAGGAGGAAACTTTTTTAACCATCTATATAAACATGTGCTTTGGATTTTCTGCATGTTTTGAGTTGAACATAAATTACAAAGTCTGGATAACTTCGGATTATTTACGCATAGAAAAGCACAAGAAATATGTATGTACAGTTTCACAAGGTTATTATGAAAACACTAGTCCAACTACCACCAGACCAAGGAATGGTATACTGTCGCAACCAAAAAAAAGTTGGGTGCCTCTCTCTGATCCCAAACCCTTTCCTCCGCCTCTAAGTAACAACCACCCTAACTGTGGTTATCATTTCCTTGCTTTTCTTTCGATTTATCACCTAGGCACGTAGCTCTGACAGTTTATTTTTGCCAGCTTCTGGATTTTACATAAACACAATCATACAGTGTGTCTTCTTCTGTGTTGCTTTGTTTTTGCTCCATTGTTGTTGCTGGCTCTGTTGTTTGTTTTCATTGCTGTATAATATTCCATCATGCAATATACCACAATTTACTTATCCATGCCCCTGTCCCCTGGGTAATTTCTGCTTTGGAGCAAATATTAGCACTACTGAGATCTTTCTGGCACAACTATCTTAAGCATATAGGCATATATTCCTCTAGTGTAAACACCTACAAGTGTGACTGCTAGATTACTGGGTAGGTGTATATTCAACTTTGCTACATAAGGCCAAACAAACTACTTCCCCAGGCGGTTGTAACAATTTACACTCCCACAGGAAGGTATGAGAGAGTTTCTGTTGCTCAACGTTTTCAAAATTTGTCACACTATTTTTAATTCTTGCTAACTGAACGGCTATGCAGTGGTGTCCTAAGAATCCTTTATTATGTAAAATTTTATAATTATTTAGGAGAAAAGCTCATGAAATCTGACAACTGACAATTGCTGCAATGGAGATTTAATTCTGCAACCAAGCATTCGTTCACTTTTCCGATGGTTACTGCACTCCCATTTCTCACCGGGTGTAACCACCCCACTCTCAGTCCACCAGCTTCCAGAGACACTGGTTCCAACACCCAGGCACAAGGGGGCGGGTGTCAGGGTGGGGTGGGGGGCTGGCCAGTAAGAGCAGCCTATTCCCGGCCAGAGTTGTTTCATCTGTGAGCATACAACCCAAGTCAAAATGAATCGAGTCTTTTCTTCCTCCTCTGGGACTTAAAGAGATTTTCATTCTTTCCCAAAGAACCTGAACATGAGCACATGGGAGTGAAGAGGCTCTCTGAGAATAGAGCAAAAATGGAGGAAGATGCTGGAGAAGAAGCTGACTCAACTGCAGCCAGCCCTGAGGCTTTTCAATTAGGTGATCAATAAATCCCCCTTTGCTTGTAACAGCTAAGGTCCAGGGACATCAGAAATAGCCCTCACTGATATCACTCATTATAAAACATGTGTTGTTTTGTTTTGTTTTGCTTTGCGGTACGCAGGCCTCTCACTGTTGTGGCCTCTCCCGTTGCGGAGCACAGGCTCCACACGTGCAGGCTCAGCGGCCATGGCTCAGGGCCCAGCCACTCTGCGGCATGTGGGATCTTCCCAGACCGGGGCACGAACCCGTGTCCCCTGAATCCGCAGGCGGACTCTCAACCACTGCGTCACCAGGGAAGCCCGATACATGTGTTTTAATCTACTCAGTAAGTTGCAGAGATCAATTAAGGTAACACGCGAGAATACACACACACACACACACACACACACACACACACACAGCCTCAATGTTATTTCAATCACATTTTGTAAGTCAAAACAGTTTATCACCCAAACTTGAACTACAGTTCTTGCCAAATGTTAACTCTGAATGTTTCTTTGGCAAGAGAATGAAAAATCAATAGCTGTAATTTATTTGTCCTTGTCTGCTATAAACACTTCACTAATTATACTATCCCTATTGGGTTTTAGTAACAAAGTTATGATAACCTCATAAAATAAATTAGGAGGTGTTCCCTGGTTTATTCTGACGAAGTATTTGGATAAGATTGGAATTATTTCTTCCTTGAAAGTCTGGTGGAATTTAACAATGAAGCCATCTGTGCCTAAAAAATTTAATTACTGATTCTATTTTTTTGATGGTTATAGGACTAGTGAAGGTTTCTATTTTTTCTGCAGCTACTTTTAGAAAGTTACATTTTTCAAGAAATTTGTTTATTTCATCTAAATTTCCAAATTTACTGACATGATGCTATTTCTAATAATGTTTTATGATTTTTTATAGTCTACTGAATCCAAAGTAGCTTCTCTTTTTTCCTTTCTTTTCATTGATTGTGCCTCCTCTTTTTTCTCCCTTATCTCACCAGACGTTTGTCAATTTTACTAGACTATTCAAAGAACCAATCTGGGTGCTTTGTTGTTCTTTTCTACTGTAAAATTTCCATTTGCTGAATTCCGCTCTGATATTCTTCCTTTGGGCTTTTTGGGGGTTTTTTTGGCTATTCTTTTTCCAATTTTTAATTAGAGTGATACTTAGCCTACTAATTTTCAGCTTTTCTACCTTTCTAAAGCTATAAAATCTCTCTCCACGGACAGAGAGATTTGGCTGCATTCTACAAGTTTTGATGTATAGTATGTTCATTTTCAGCCAGTTAAAAGCATGTTCTAACTTCCATTATGTCATCTTCTTAGAATATTTTAAAAATATTCCTTTATTTTTAAGCTCTTAGGGATTTTATAATTATCTTTTTGTTACTGATCTATAGCTCAGTTCCACTGAGGTCAGAGATTATAATCTGTATTATTATAATCTTTGAAACGTATTGCACTATGGCCTAGTATTGGTCAATTTTTAGAAATTTCTTCTATGTGCCTGAAAATAAAGTATACGTTGCAGGTTTTGGATGGAATGTTATTTATACGTACATCAGACCAAGGGTATTGATCCTATGCAAAACATCTGTGCTTACAGAATTTTTAAAATTTTTGGCCTACTTATTCTATCAGTTACTGAGACTTGTGTTGGAATCTCCACGATAACTGTAAATTTCTCAATTTTTCCCTTGTACTTATGCAAATTCTAGTTTGGATACTCTGAAGTCATATTATTAGGCTTCTCCACATTGAGAATTATGATGACTCTCTTTTGAATTGAACCTTTTACCATTACAAACCGTGACAGAGACGACAGGTTGACCGAACTTCCTTCTTCTACTTCCTGGGCACAAAGCTAGATTGTTATTTCCCAGCCTCCCCTGCAGTTTGGTTCTTACCAAGGTTTGGTTATACGACCTGGGCTCCCCCTAACAGAACGTGATCGTAATGTACCCCACCCTCAGGCCTAGCCCGTGAATACTGGTGTGAGTGTCCATACTCCCCCGAACGCAGAGGCTCCTGCAGAGTATTCCAAGTCCTAAGAGATGGCAGAGTCACAGGTAGAAGCAGCTGAATCCCCAGATGACCATCTGGAAAGCAATCTGCCAAACAGGACTGTCGATACTGGACTTTGTGTAAGAAACGAATTTGCTTATAATAAACTACTGAATGTTTTGTTATAGGAACTAGTTGCCAACTCTATTGAGTGAAATGACACTCATTATCTCTAGTACTGTTTTTTTTGCCTTAAACTGTATTTTTTCTGACACTATACAATCTTGCTTTTGGCTAGTGTTTGCATAGTTTATTTTTTTCATCATTTTTCTTTCAATATCTCTTCATCCTCATGTTTTAGGTGGGTCTCTTATGAACAGTATACAGTTGGATTTTTAAAACATCTTACTTGATACCCTTGTCTTTTAATTGGAACACTTACGCTATTTACACTGGAAGCAACTACTCACATTTAGATTTAATTCTGTTATTTTACCAGGGGCTTCTATTTGCTCCTTTTGGATTACTTGTTATCATTCCAGTCCCCACTCCCCAGTAATCTGGAAATTATACATTGTTTCTATTCTTTTAGTAATTGCTTTAGAAATTATAATGTACAGGTTCTTACCAAAGTCCAATGTTAATCAATATATTTACCCTTCCCTTGGACAGCAAGGGCCTCAAAATATTAACTCCATTCATCATCTTTCCAACTTATATTCTACTGTTGTGTGTGTATGCATGTGTCTATCTTTCTGTCATTATTAATGTTTTACACAATATTCATTCATTTTTCTTAAAAAGGTACAGAATTCTTTCTTCTAGTGTACTGAAGCTATTACCCCAAGTCTTTTTGGCTTTCACTGACTGTGTTGAGAAGTCTATTACTGTTCCTTTATAGGTAATCATGTGTTTCACTATGTGTTTGGGTGGATTTCTTTTTACTTATCCTGCCAGTCATTTGTTGAGCATCTTGGATCTGTGGTTTGGCTTCTTTCACAATCTGTGGAAAATTTTCAGCCATTATCTCTTCGAATACTGCTTCTGCACCATCCTCTCTCCTCAGAACCAATTATACATGTGCCAGAGCTCACTGCTTCCAGTCTCCTGCCTTCCCTTTGTGTTTTCCACATTCCCATCTCCGTGTTTCACTCTCGTTTTTCTTCTTTTGATCTGTTACTGTGGTGGATTACATTGATTGATTTTCCAATGTTAAGCCAATCTTTCATTCTTGAGATAAATCTGATCATTATGTAACAGCCTTTTTATATGCAGCCTAGTGGATTCTATTTGCTAAAATTTATGGAGGATGCTGTGTATATCACAAATACTGCTTGGTGGTTTTTCCTTTATTATAATGTCTCTGTCTGGTTTTGCTTTCAGGATAAGGCT